TTTATTTGAACCATTTGAAAGTATTTGTTTGTATCATTCTTAAGTTTGGTCTGTGTCAATTTATGGTCTGTTAGTGCGCGTTCATAGGGAGGCGCTGACCCTCGATCGGACCATAGAATGGAATCATATTATCGATTTTAGGTTAAAGAAAATGCATTATTTTAAATTCGAGCGTTACCCCCTCTGTGGCTCAGTGGTAAGACCGCCTGCCTTTAAATCTAAAGGTCGTGAGTTCGAATCCCACCTGGGTGGAAATTTTCGTTTATTAAAAAAAAAATTAATAAATGAAAATAATTTATATCCTTGTGTGATCGGTACACACCGGAGGGACCGCAGACGTTCGGATACAATTAGCGTCTCTTAGCAAAGACAATGACGTCGAATTTGCTAAGTATCAAGACATTTACTCTACACACACAAACACACACACACACACACTACATTAATAAAACTTATCTTGATTGAGACTGGCTGAATGACAATTGTCCAAGCCAAAACACACAAAACAAAAATTCGAGCGTTCACTGTCAGTGCTATGCTCTAGGCGAGAATACGATGCTACAGTCTCCGTAATGAACGCACCCTTAGAATATAGATTATGTATATCAAGTTGTGGGTCTAATGGCTTATGGGGGCCAATAAATGCATAAATATATCATATTATTTGAAATGTGATATGCAGGGATTTTTTATTTACATGTATTCTAAAAATAAGATGCTAAAAGTAAAGGCTAACATACAAACTAAATACTCCACTTTAAATTAAAAAAATCGTGATAATATATTTTTAACAATCTTTTATATACAGTTTAGTCTATATGTATATGTTTTATTTATACAGAGCGTCTGCCAAGAATGCAACGCAAGTATTTTATTAGATATTTACGTAACCCACTAATAAAAATTGCCACATAATTTCTTAACTCTCTGTAAAATCAAGATTAGATTAAATCAAGATTATGCATAGGATGTAAATATAATAAAAAATAAAAACCTTTTGAACATATATTCAACTCCTTTATAAAGTTACAATAATTTTTAAATTTGTAATTATTATTAAAATCCAAAAATATGAAGTTATATATCCATTTCTACTACGCGAGATTTTACTTTTATTTTGGACTTTGGTAATAAGTTTTATCAGGTACCCCCTGATGTATCCTTTAAAAAGTTTTAACATTTCTTACGTAATCTTATGTAATGATATATTACATCTTATGACGTGGAGTATCAAGACAGTACTGCGTCGGACAGCTTATTTCCCATTTTAGTAATAATGCTCCATTCTAAACCAGTGTAAAAGGCTATTACGATTTGAACTCACTTTAGCTCAGCGTTGCCATACGGCAATGAAAATCGGCTGTCTACACAAATATTTATGGTGTCTTTTGTAAGACAGATGGCGTTATAGGTCACTTGTAAGCTGTGTTGCCAAAACTCATGATTAATGGTAAGATTACACGAATTCGGTCAAATGTCATGTCTGTACTACTTTACGGATGTGAAACCTGGAAAGCGACAAAAACCCTTACAGACAAACTGCAGGTCTTTGTTAATAAATGTCTACGAAGAATTGTTCGTATTTTCTGGCCTAACATCATCAGAAACGAAGACTTACTACACCTGACCAAACAAAAGAGGGTAGTAAATGAAATAAAGTCCAGAAAGTGGGGTTGGATCGGTCACACACTCCGAAAGAATAACTCCAGTATTGCAAAGACTGCCCTAGAGTGGAACCCCCAAGGAAAACGAAAAAAAGGTCGCCCAGTACAAACTTGGAGAAGATCCATCATGGACGAGATAAGAAAACAAGGAAAGTCTTGGAATGAGGTGAAGGCCTTAGCGCAAAATAGAACCCGATGGCGCGTTTTCACTGAAGCTCTATGCTCCACTTAGGAGTTCAAGAACCTTATATATATATATACACGAATTCGGTAAATGTCTCACGATTTCACGAATTATACGGGAATATGGAATTAACACGATTTTTACTCACTTTAGAGAAATAAGTAGTTTTATACATAATTTTGTAAAGAAATTACTTAGAGACAGAAAAACCACGTTAACAAACTTGTTATAACTGAACGAAAAAGGAGCTAAAAATATTAATTGTATTTTTACCATCCACAATTCGCTAGCTACTGGATTAAATTGAATCAGAATTCGGGGAAATCCCGCCCTTGCACCAATTACAATATTACTGCGTGCGCGTTGCATTACGACCTTTGTCGTTTGTCGTTTGTCGTTGTTTTGTTTGGTTTGACCGTCAGTTTTATAAGGTACAAAACGGCAGATAGTGACGAAAGTATTGTTGGATATCCTCCTAATAAAAAAAAAGAAAATTGTTTACCAACAAAAATACAAACTAGACTGAGAAAAAAAGTGGACTTGGGTCACGTCCAGTAAAAAGGGTATGTTTTTTTGGTTGGGTTTTTTTTGCGAAAAGTTTTTCCTATATATTTCTTATTTTGGTTGCAAAAATATACACGTATTTCGTATAGATCTCGTTTTTTTTTTCTCATTCTTGCACCCTAATAAGAATCTTTTATTGAGTTCGGAAAATCTCACGATTTCTCACGATTTTTAAATAGACTTCTGACGCTTTTTCCTAGAGTATTTTTGTAAGATTGTCGAAACACGTGTTTTCTGATCTAGCTGTTTATTGTGAATTTACACGTTGGCAAGAAATGTTTGTAAACAGCGAATTTTTGTCGTTACATTCAAAATGGACATTCAATTCAAGTAAGTAATATTATTTGGTTAAGTTATAATTTTTTCGCTTAATTTCGTATCTCATTCATAGTAACCATGATCTCAGTGTTGCCATATAGCTACGGTAGGTCAATATTCTACTATTTAAACTATATAATTATTTATATATTAATTTTTTTCAGACGGAGTTTGAGTTTATAGAAAGCTCTACAAATAGCATATGAAGCAGACATGGATCAGATACTTATTGAACCTCCTGAGACTTGAATTCTAACAGACGAAGAGTCGGAAGGCTTTCCGAAGGAATGATTTCGATATAAATCGATTACCAGGACGGCAACTCTCTGCAAATGCTAAAGTTGTATTGCACAACAACGAAAGAATACCTGGTAATATTGGCATTGATGGTATGTTCAACAAAGAGGATTAGTCATGTATTACGCCGCGCATTGAGTTAGGCAAAAACTTTTCTTGTATATCTGGATATTTAGAGGTTCCAACAAAACATAATAAAATGATGATTCCTGATAGTAAACATAAACTGTACAAAAATATGAGTCCAAATGAACTATTTGAACTTTGATGAGAACGTGATTATTTGTTGGTAGAGGAAGTAATGAGGTATCCTTTTTCTAAAAATGTACCTGATTTTGCTGTAACCAAGGATGAAATAAAATGTTTGTTGGGGATCTTACTAGTATTTGGTAGAATCCATAGGGAAAAGATTTTACTGGGACCCACGTCATGATCTGAATAATTAGGGTATTTGTCAATCAATGATAAGAAATCGGTTTTTTGAAATAATAATAAAGCCTTACCGTTTAAGTATATCGTTAAAATTATTGTTTATTTACAAGGCATCAACGCAGCTCGTTGAAGAACAACAGTGTTGATTTTATGCGTTTATCTTCAAAATTATAATATAATGTAAGTTCCGAATAATATTTTTAGTTTATTATTTTGTACTTACGTGATATTATTTTAGAATGTTTCCTCGTAAACGTAAACTGACAAATCAACAGATACAAAAATATGCAGACAATTTTAGAGAAATGTCATATGAAGATGACTGGAAACCGTTCGAGAGCTTAGATAGTAAGGAATCGTTCTAGTATAAGGCCGAATTTAAATCAGAAACATCATTCAATTCAAAAAGTGGAGAAAATATGCAGACATTTATTAATAAAACAAAACTGAGTGAAATCAGGTGTTCAGGATGTTGGATCTGTGTAACGCAAGTAATTCAATATCTTATACATCAACAAATCCAGTGTTGTCAATTCAAGAAATGCCAACTAATAGGCAAGAATATCAGAATTTGACATCACTATCGGTAGCAAGTTCACAATCAAATGAAGATCCATGACGGAAGCCCAGAATTGGATATTATAGGCCAATAGATTCTTTATTTGTTGCATCGGAAGTGAAACCACAGGTAGCAGCATTGTTGACGAATTTTACACCAGGTGATATTTTGTATCCTGTAGATGAGTAATATTCCTTATCTGCGATGAGATAGACAACTATTCGACTCAACTTCTTACAGCTGAGGACGCTACACCAAACTCCACTACACTCCATCTCTACATGCTTGAAATCCCACCACAAAGTCTGAAATTAGACATTTTCTGGGATTAGTGGCTTGGACAGGATTAGTAAAATAGCCATCACATACACTGGAGTACAGATGAGCTATTTAGTAATAATTTTGCTTCAAAGGTAATGTCGAGAAATCGATTTGAATTGTTATTATGCACGATTCATTTAGTTGATAATACAGCGGCAGATAAAAGCAAAAATTTTTTTAAAATAACACCAAACCAAACCTAATCTAAACCAAATCTTAAATAGAAAAGTGTTTTGGATCTATGTTTAAATGCTTCAAAAAGATATGTTCATGAAAAGTATTTTGGAAAATTATACATCCAAGTTTAAATGTAAATATTTGTTTCGACATTCATCCCTAAGAACAAAAATAACCTCTACGAAGTACGTATACAGATTATCATCAGTCTGTTTTTGTTTTCTTTTGTCATCCTTCCTCTGCCTGATTTTTGAAAATAACTTCAAACAACTTCTAAACAACCATGGGTAATCCGTTTAACAAACACGACGTTATAATGTTAAAACATTCCTTTTCAAACTTGTTTTAAAGATATATGACTTTTTAATCCTTTACTTTTAATTGTTTTATTAATTTTTAGGCAAAAGTGTATTAATGGGACGGGCGCTATAAAATTATATTTTTTCCAAAATATTATTGATTAAAAGTAAAGAAAAATACTTACATGGTGAAGGTTCATTTTCAGTCCTTCCTAGTAATCTCCTGCATCTTCTTTTTTCATAATCATCTAAAGATTTTTCGCTAGTACATCTAGTAATATTAAACTTTTTCTTTTGTTTGTTATAAAGCTTAAATTCTACTATGATGTTTGTATCAGTTTCGCATATGAATCCCTTTTTCTCCGTACACTTCCTGGCCAACCACCTGAAAATATTTTTAGTTTGTAGTAAACTGTTTTTAAATTTGATATTATATTTAAGAACATAATAAGTAACGCCAAAATAGAAAAGTTAACTCGAATCATTATAGGATCCATTACATATAGGAACATTACAATTTTCTCATATTTTTTAAATGTACAATCCTATAATATTCAGACGATTGCATTTATTTCTTTCATTTCGATAAAGCATTTCCTACATACTTAAACTCATTACTTTCGGAGATATTTTTATTTTTGTTGGTAGAAATATCAGATTTGTGTGGTAATAAAAAAATTATTCTTAAATATTATGTTTATGCGAGATTAAGCCTTCACAACGAAAACCTCTGCTGAATGGACAGCTTTTAGGTCACCGAACATTTCATATGTGGGTAAATAAAAAGAAACCTCCGAACAACGGACCTTCTTCAGAACGACTCCGAACAAAATTTTCCTTCAGTTTTACTAAGAATTTATTGTAATTTCACCTGCCAACAATGGACAGTCGACAGCCGCGACTAGGAAAGGAAAATTTTTATCCATCTTTTTTAGCTTTAAAATTAACATTCTCAGCAAAATTCAGCTTATTCGTTTAATTTTTGAAGGTAAAGTGACATTCTCGTCTCTGATGACTGCTACTTGCTCGAAATATGCTGGTCTTCAATAAAAAGTTTTATTTCAGGCAATTTTATTTATTTTTATTTAATTTTATAAACAACCTAGAGCTGGCTGTTCTTTCGCAAGGCGCCGATATTGAGCAAAAATCTATTTTTTAAATGTAACCGTCCTTTGTCGTAATTTAAACGGCTTTGCAAATTCGTCTAATGCTGTGCCTACACACACAATCACGCTAAGCGATCAACCCTACCCCTAGGAACATGTGTATACCAAACTAAGTATGGGATCCACATGTCCGAAGATCAAACCGGTCACACTTCACTAGTTGAAGTGGTACCTATCTGACCCCCAGGCTTTTCCACCACCCCTCCTCATCGTGTGACTTACGTGAGGAGGCTTATGATCTGAAAGTTACTTGAGGTGCCCTGGGTAATGAGACACCTCCTGTTTTTAATTACTGTGGTTATGCCACCTGACTGTAGGGGTAGCCACATCTAGGCTTTTCTCCCTATTTACTTTACTGACTCTATAGATTTTACTCTAACTTCACTTCGGGACTGAAGTCCCTAAAAAAAAAAAGAAAAAGAGCGTGTGTTCCGTCCATGAAGCCGACAGCCTGGGCTGTCGACTTCATGTCCGGAAAAAAGTGTGTGCTCGGTCACTCAGCCGCCGATTTGGCAAAAGTAAATTTTGTTCTCCTCGCCGGCTGGGCGCCCGAAGTGTGTCCGGCCGCCGAGCCCATGCTTGCCGCACATGACCTCAGTGCTCGGGTGTCGCGAAAAGGATCAGCATTCATTTGATCCGCCTTAAGGGCCTAATCCGCATCAGCGGTATATAGAAGACCTGACGGGCCTTCTATATAGAAAAATAGGATGAATTTTACGGTTAAAACGTTTAATAAATTAAAATTGATTTTTGAAGTTCTGAATTTAAAAGAAAAACAACCGTGTTTTTTTTTTTTTTTTTTTTTTTTTTTTTTTTTTTTGGGTTTGGGGGTCTTCCTTGGCGTTGGGACTATAAAATGCCGGCACAATTCTTACCCTTTTATTCTTACATGCTAATTTGTGTGGGTGTGTTGGGGTGTGCATTGCAGGGTGTATATGGCCTCCACACACCCCGGTGTATATTGTCCTTAACTAAGTGCCTTGGCACCTGTATCCTCTCGCCAGAGTCCTAAAAATAGATATTTTTTTGGTGGTTGTTTTTCTGATGACTGCATTCTTTTATTTGACGTCATTCAACCATCTCATTCTTCATTTATTCGTTGGGGACCCTATATCCGGCTATTTGCTGTTTAGGTCTTCTGTGTACCGTCCTGGTATTTGCGTTGTAGTTAGTCAGCTCTCTTAACATGCTACTTGGGTGGTTGTTTAGTCCGTTGAATAGTTCGTATGCCTTTTTGTCCATTGTGTGAAGGATCCTTGTTTGTCCTGAGTCTCTGTATAAATTTCTCAGAGGTACATATCTCGGTAAGTTCAGGGCATCTCTTATTAGTTGATTTTGTGCTGTTTGTATTTTTTTCCTGTTTGTTTTACAGGTGTGTCCCCACGCAGCAGAGGCATACGAAAGGACTGGCAGGATAATACTATTCGCAATCCTGATTTTGGTTTTAAACCTTAGCTTACTTCTTCTACCAATAAGCGTTGAGAGCTGATTTTTCAGCGCTTTGGCTCTATACGTTTGCTGATTTATGTGCTGCGTAAATGTGAGTTTTTTGTCTAGTAACACTCCTAGGTATTTGGCCTCGTTTGTCCATTCTACTGGGGTGTTCCCAATCATTAGTTCTCGGTTCGGTACACTTCTTCTGTGACTAAACATTACAGCCTGTGTTTTATCCGGGTTTAAGGCTATTTTCCATTTGATGCACCATCTTTCGAATCTATTAAGTGCTCTCTGCAGATGATTAGCTGCATGATCTGGATTTCTCCAGCTAACAGCTATTGCTGTGTCGTCGGCGTAAAGACTCAACAGGGAACCTGGTTCTTTTGGCGTGTCGGCCGTATAGATGGTATACAGGTAAGGCGACAGAACAGCTCCCTGAGGCACACCTGCTTCCAGGGTCCCGACTTCGGACAGAGTTGCCCCCGTTCGAACCCTGAACCTTCTGTTGGCTAGGTATGATCCAAGGAGGCATGTCATCGCCTCGCTGTATCCCATAGAGTTCATTTTGTAAATGAGTCCGTCATGCCAGACCCTGTCAAATGCTTTACTGACGTCCAGAAATGCTGTTGCCGTATACATTTTTTCGTTATAGCCTTTTGTTGTAAATTCAGTAAAACGTAGAACTTGTAGTTCGCATGAATGTTCGCTTCTGAATCCAAATTGAGCTTCTGGTATGATGCCTAGTGCTTCCGATTCGTCGTTGAGTCTTTTTAATATAACTCTTTCCGCTATCTTGCTTATTGATGATAGTAGGCTGATAGGTCTGTAATTTTGCGGAAAAATGCCATCCTTCCCTGGTTTTTTAATCATGATAATTTGTGCCTCCTTCCATCTATCTGGAAAATATCTTAGTTTGAGCATGTTGTTTACAATGTTCGTTATGTAGACAGTAGCTTTGTTGGGTAGATTTTTTAGTGCCCTGTTTGTGATGTTGTCAGGTCCTGGGGCTTTTTTGGCGTTTGTTAGTTTTATTAGCTCTTTTATTTCTTCGGGAGATGTATGTGTTATTCCTACTCTGCCCTTTCTTCTCTTTAGTCTTCTGGCTGTTCTTTCTACCTCTTCTTCAAAGTCTATGTCTTCATTGGGATTTTCGTTATTTCTACATGCCCTTTCTAGTTCGTCCTTTAGGACTTCAGCTTTGTCTATTTCCGTGTGGACAATCCCGTTTACTCCATGTAAGGGAGGTATGGGTTTCTTGTCCTGTCGGAGGATTTTCGATAATTTCCAGAAGGCGGATTTGTTAGGGTCTAATTCTTGGATATAGTTGTCCCAGCTTTCATTTCTGTGATTTCGTAGTTGTCTTTTAACTTCCCTGTCTAGCTCATTTGCAATCCTTTTATCTTCTAATGTTCTAGTACGATAGGCTCTTCTTCTTTTTCTGTTTTTTTCTTTAATTAAGTCTTGTAGATCCTGACTTATATCTCCGAATCTTCCTTTTTGTCTTGTGATTGTTTCGGTTTTGGAGCTGGCATCGATAGCATTAATTATAGTTTCTTCTAGTTTGGTTACGCTGTCCTCTAGTTCTGTGATGTTGTTTATTGTTGGAATGTTACCGATGTTTTCGCTCACAATTCTTCTAAAGTTTGGCCAACTTGTTATCTTTCTTTTGTGGGGCTGCGAATAGTTTAGTTCTATTGCGCCCAGGGTCAAAACGATTAGATTGTGCGTCGAATCGCCTTCGTTTAGAGAGCGTATCTCGTATTGTTGACCCACGTTGTGTAGGATTGCAATGTCTAGATGTGTAGGGAGTTGTCCGTGAAAACAGGTCGGTTCTGTTGGTCCGATCACGTAGGTGTTTGGTCTATTTTCGAGATGGCCGCAAAGTCGTCTCCCGTTATTGTTGGTCGCTCTATCGAACCAGTTGGGAGATCTCGCATTAAGGTCTCCTATGATTACCGTGGGCTCTTCTGTGTCGAGGATTAGGCTCAAATCTTCATCGAATATCGGTTCGTTAGGTCTGACATAAGCTGACACTATTTTTAGTGTTTCGTTGTTGGCCTTTAGTCTTACTAGCGTGGCTTCCATTGTGACCAGTCCACCTGGTGTTGGGATGTGTTCATGTTCTATGCCTTTTTTAACTAGTATGGCTGTTCCTCCTGATCTTGCTCTATGGTCAGTTCTATAGATATCGTAGCCTGGAAATTTGGTTTTCTTCCTTTCCACTAGTTTCGTTTCTTGAAGGGCTACGATATCGAGCTCTAATCTATTTATCATTTCGTCCAAAAGGTTGAGTTTTTGGAAAATTCCACCGGAATTCCAGGACCCTATGCGTAGATCTTCCGTATGGTTAGCTAACATTGTCGATTTATTTCACCGAATGCAGTCATCATTTTTGTGGCCCTATCCATCACGGACATCATCTCCATCATTTTCTTATTGTATTCCGTCTGGAATGTGGCAATGAGTGCGGCTGCGTCTTGCATCGTTGGGGCCGCTTGTTCTGGGGTTTTCTTGGCTGCTTGTGCGTAGCTGAGACCCGTGGTTGTTGTTGTTGGGTTGAGTGGTCTGCCCGCCGGTTTTACGGGGGCAGGGGTCTTCTTTTTTGGAGCTTTTGAGCATCCTCTGTAATTGGCCGTATGCGCCTGTTCGCAGTTGGCGCATTTTGGAGCCGTTTCTTTGCTTTTTCCGCACTCATTGCTGAGATGGTTTTCACCACACCTTACACATCTGGAGTCGCAGTGGCAAGCCTTTGAACTGTGGTAATAACCCTGGCAGTTAAACA